AAAACTACCAGCTGTTCCGTGGGAGAAAGATGAGGCTTTCTGCTCCTGTAAAGATTTACAGCCTCAGAAACCCTGTACAGGGTCACTATGAGTTGGAACCAACTCCACGACACAGAACAACCACCACCATATATATAGCTATAAATAATCTAAAATGGTTTAATTCTTGTTTTGAAAACAAGACTACATTTTCATCACAGAGAAGCTAAAAATGCAGACCCAAAGCAAACAAGCCACCCATCAAGGGGTCTGGAGACACATGACACTTCCCTTCTCACCTGATGAAAGGACGAGAGATGGCCAGCACTGTCCGGATGAACCAGGAAGGGTGAACAATGATGAGAGACTTCAGGTTTTTCCTCAACCTGTTGGAAGGAGGCAAAAGAGGCAAGATGGGCTTCTCAGTGTCAGTACAGGGGAGATGGGGGTCTGGGCGGGGGCAGGGGAAGGGCCTGAGAGAGAGATGCATTCATCACTCACTCATTCATTCCATGGTTGTCCTTCATGTATGTATGCCAACTACCTGGACCATATACCTATACCTGGACAGGTGCCTTTACCTCCATGTACCTGTCAAGTCTCTGACCTCATCTAGGAGGTGTGGGTCACAAGAAGGGGTAAAGACACATCCCTTGAGTCCCTAAGACCCCCAGAGTGGGCAGAGTAAGAGAGGGACTCCCAGTGAGAAGCAAGAAGACCAGGTAGGCAGAGTTTTATTCTTACATCTGTTATGGAAGACATTTTATTCCTTCCCCCGCCAAAATACATGTTGGAATTCTTAACCTGTATCCCTGTGGATAAGATCTGTTTGGAAATAGACTTTTCTTTGTTATGTGAATTGGGTATACCTGAATAGGGTGGGTTCTAAATCTAATCACTTCTGAATTATGAAAAGAGAGGATTAGACACAGAGAGCCCCACAGACACCAAGACAAGTCCTTATTACCGACGGGATGCTGACTTCTAACCCTAAGAACAAAACCAAGCTAGCTGCAGTCGAGTCAATTCTGACTCTTGGCAACCCATGTATGCAGCTAGAACTCGTTCCATAGGATTTTCAAGGTGGTGACCTCTGGGAAGCAGATCACCAGACCTTTTTTCTGAGGTACCTCCGGGGGGATTCGAACTGTCAACCTTTCTTTTAGTAGTTGAGCGCTTAACTGTTGTACCACTCAGGGACTTCTATTTCTAATTCTGCTTTTTTATTTATTTGGAGTTCTAGAGTTCCTCACCCCACGGTCACATTGTCTCCCTTTTCTGAAGGATTTTCTGGGATGCCCTCGGTTCTGACCACCCTCAGGGTCTCTGGTTCCCTGTGCTCAACCCACCTCCTGTCGATCATCTGGTAACACTTTTTCAGCCAGCCGATGCCAGGCATCCTCCGGCGGGGCGTGGCTCCGTTCAGGTACACGATCATGTAATCCTCAGCCACTAGGAGCTCCAGGCTGCTGATGACGTACCTAGAACAGGAGGCAGATGACAGAGACCTGATGTGGCAGGACTGCATCAGGGAGACCTGGTGACTGGTGCTGCTGCTCTGTTTGTCCACACCTGTCCACCTGTCTGTCCTGGCACGTTCCAGTAGGAGCTGATGTGGGTGACCCCAGTCCATTCCAAATTTCCATCAGTGGGTATAATAATAATAGTGATGTTCTGGTTGTTGTGGGGTGCCATCGAATTGATTCTGACCCACAGTGACCCTAAGTGACACTGCAGAACTTCCCTATAGGGTTTCCTTGGCTGTCTTTTTTTTTTTTTTTTAATGCTTTATTGTGAATTATGTTATAGTTTACATGGGAGGACATTAGCTTCACATAGATCCCATCGTATATCGTTTCCTTGCAATGGTTACAATCCCCTCCATGCATCATCAACCAACCAAAGGGTATACACTACAAGCCTGCCCACTGGTCGTCAGCACATAGCCCCTCTCCCTCTCTGTGTCTAAAATCCCCAGCTGCTCCATCTCTCCACGTCATTGTCTTTGCCTCCATCTCTGGCCTCACTGCTTCTCTGGGTAGGGTCCTGCTCTCTGCTCTTCTCCCTTCATGGTCCCAGGGGCCTCCTCTCCTAGACTGTAAAGTTAATCACTCCCCTCCCTTTGCCACAAAACGTCTACCTTTACATTTCCAACCCTCACAATCAGTCCTGATAACAATTATTCACTATTGTATCACAAGAGATCCATCTGCATTTCATTTCATCAGCCCCACCTAGACAAATTGTATACTTACTACTCAGTGGAGATTCTACCTTGCTCCATGCCCTCTGGATCTTGAAAGCTTCTAAGCCAGTCACTTCTTGCCTTTGTAGCCCCCACATTCTGGGTAGCCAATGTCCAAGTTGCCCATCCCTGTGTACTCTGTGTGTCGAGGGGGTGGGAATGATCCTTGCTGTAAGTATTTGTTTCCTCCTTTGAGCTACTGCATCCATAGGTGTAGGTCAAGTTCATCAAATTGTATCAGATTACTCTTTTTTCCCTCTTCTTTCTTCTTCTGTTGGCTGTCATTTTTATGGAAGCACATCACCAGGCTGTTCTTCTGAGGCAACTTGTGGGTGGATTTGAACCTCCAACCTTTCAGCTAATTAAGAGAGCACATTCACCACGTATGTGTACCACCCAATGTCTCCATCAGAGTTTAGACATGAAGGAATCTTGGTTGAGTCATACCCTTCAGTTTCATGACAACAGTAACTGACAGGTTGTGTTGTTTGGTGCCTCGGGGGGGTTCCTAGGTTGTTACTTTCACGAGAACTGATTGGCAGGTCTTTCACCTGCAGAGCTTCTGGGTGGGTTTGAACCATCAACCTTTATGGTTCCAACTGTTGTGCTATCAGGGCTCCTAATAGTAGCAATGTTGTTGTTGTTAAATGCCATCGAATTGGTTCCGATTCATAGTGATCCAGTCTAGGGTTTCTGAGGAGCGGCTGGTGACTTGAACCACCGACGTTGAGGTTCAAACTGACCGTGGTCCAGTGTATTATCTGCAGCACCACACCAGGGTTTCAATAGCAGTACTTCATTCATTGAGTGCTTACTATGAATCAAAGGAGCTCTGGTAGCGTAGTGGTTACAAATTGGGCTGCGAACTGCAAGGTCAGCAGTTCAAAACTACCAGCTGCTCCGTGGGAGAAAGATGAGGCTTTCTGCTCTTGTAAAGATTTACAGCCTCGGAAACCCTGTTCAGGGTCACTATGGCACTTAACAACAACAACAAAGATTTACAGCCTCAGAAACCCTATGCAGGGTTGCTATGAGTTGGAACCAACTCCACGGCACACAACGACAACTATGGAGCAAGGGCTTCCTGTGCAGTATCCCATTTATAGTAAATGTTCAATAAATGACAGTAACGACCAGAAGGATTGAGCTGACAGGGAATCGAGCCCTGTGGCAAGTGAGTCAGCATGAATCAGAACTCAGGAGTCCCTAGGTGACGAAAGGCTGTTGCCTTGGCTCAAACTCCCGACCCCAGAGGCGGCTTGGAAAATCAGCCAGTAAGCCTGGTGGTTGGCTTCTGAAAGCTCAATGCTGAGAGCTTTTCCCATGGAGCACAGTTCTACTTTGTACACATGGGGTGGCCGTGAGTCAGAATCGACATGTGTTCCCTATGGTAGAGGTCTACTGGTGCCCAGCAGTGCCTCCCAGGAGCCTAATCCCACTCCACGCCCCCACCCTGCTCCCCCACCCCCACCCCCTGGGGCTCAGCTGGATCCAGAGACTCACAGGAAGAGGTTCTCCATAATGTAGTGGTAGTCGGGGGCACTGCTGTCGGGGAGGAAGCAGGCGGCGAAGACAATGATGGCGTTGAGACCTTCACCATAGTAGCCTGGGGGAGGGGACCAGGAGAGGTGTGTTACCGCCCCCACCCCCAGCAGTGACGGGCAGAGCCCTCCTTGATGGGTGCACCCTCTGCATCACCTGCTGGCCCACCACCCCTTCCCACAGCCCACACATGCTCAGCTCTCATGGCTTCCAGTCCCGCAGCCTGGGGGGGAAGCAGGGGCTGTCTCCACCTTCAGTGGGGATCAAGAGCCACTGCAGGGACACTCCTGGGATCCAGGCTTCATCTATACCCCAACTTTCCCCCACTCATCCCAAGAGGGTGGCTGAATCTGAGACTGAGTTTCAGAGAGGTGGCTGAGGAGGCTGCTCTCACCTCCGTGGGTGACCACTTTCATGTAGGGCCGGATCATGTGCAGGTCGATGCGATGTTCTTGCTCTCCAATGATCACTGTCCGCCATAGGCGCCCGTTGGCCGCTCCGCCATCCTCTGTGGCACCATCCCCAAACAGATCTGCACTGTCCCCAGGCATGTTCTTGGCAGTGGCCACAGGGGTGTCATCTGAAAGCAGGTTGGGAGTGAATGGAGGGGATGCCTGAGGCTGGATCTCTTGTGCTGTGTTCAGGGGACCACCAGACCTCCTCCCAAACTCCCCACCCAGCCTTCCTCTCTGTGCCCTTGGCTGCAAATCTGCCCCCCACCCCAAACCCACTGCTGGCATCAATTCTGACCCATAGCAACTGTGCAGGACAGAGGTGGGCTGCTTCACAGAGTCTCTGAAAATATAAACCTTTATGCAAGCTGACAGCCTCATTTTTCTCCTGTGGAGCTCCTGGTGGGTTTGAACTGCCGACCTGGCAGTTAGCAGCCCACCCTTAACCCACTGTACCACCAGGGCTCCATCTCTTGGCTGCAGGTGGCCACATCTCCCAGCCCTCTCCTGTGAGCCTGAGTTTCCACCTGGCTGCCTTGCTAGTCCTTCCACTCCTAGTCTCCCTTCACATCCTGGTTCAAATGCCACCTCCTCCAGGAAGCACTCCTGGACACCCCCTTTGCTAGCTTCCTACAGATAGTGAAAGGGTCTGTCTGCTTCATCAAGCCATGTGGGCACTCATGGGTATGGGGTGGGCCGTGCATGTACCTTACCCTTCTTGGGGCTGGGCACACCTAGAGTCAGGATGGAGTCTAGTCCTGGCCCCAGATGGGAGCCAAGGTCCTCCTGTTTCTACCTGCTACCCTTGGGCAGTCCCTCAATGTTCATACACCATCACCATGGTGCCTGTGTCTACCAGTGGAACTCTCACTCCCATCTGCCCCATGTCCTTTCCAACATCTCCAATTCCCCCCTTTCCTAGCCTTGGCAAAAGGTGCTCCCCCCAGTTTCTCTAGTCCAGGGTCCTACCCCCTGCTACCCGCTGGACTGGCATGGGGTCCCAGATCATTTTCTGGGACAAGGGGGGCTGTCCTGTGCACTGTAGAGTGTTGAGCAGAGTCCCTGGTCACTCTCAAGGCCAGCAGCAACCCACCCCCCAAAAGTCATGATAACCACACGTATTCCCAGACATGGCCAGTGCTCTTGGAGGGCAGAGTCACCCCTGTGAGGACCCTGATCTGTCCCCCCATTCTCATCTGATTGCCCTTCTAGCTCAGATTACCAGCCGCTCCAGCAGTTTTGCTCATTGTTCAGCGGCTGTCTTCCTGACTCCCTGTGTGGGTGGGGACCATCTATTTCTGCCCCAGAATAAATGTTACTCAGTGGCGTCACTAGGGCCGGTCACCCAGGGAGATAGCTCATGGGGTCACCCCTCCCTATGTGGGTGGGGCACCGCCCCGCCCCACTCACTCAAGCCACGCCCAAAAGCCACGCCCCTCTTCCGCTGGCAAAGTCAGAGACCCTCCACTCTGTTCAACGGTGTGTGCCAGGGCCTGCCCACCACACCCAGACTGGTGGGGCTAGCAGTGACATGGGACTAACTTTGGTCACCCCTCCTGCCACAGCTCTGGCACCTTTTTCCACTGAGACCCTGGGGTAGCCGTTGAGTCAATTCCAACTCAAGACTACCCTATGCTTCACGCTGTCAGAGTAAAAAGGTGTGCACCACCAAGTTTTCTTGGTCATCGTCTTTACTGAAGCAGATCGCCAGGCCTTTCTTCCGCGTGGTGCCAACAGTTTGAATGCAAACCATTCAAACTGCCTTGGCACCTGTTCTCCCCTCCCTC